GCTGACGTCGCATAAATATTTTTCATTTCGCTTGTTGTTGGAAAGAGCTGTCCGCCTCTGCTGTATTTATCCTGTAGTAAATGCAGGTAAAGGTTCGAATGCGCTGTTGTCGGTGGTGACTAAATGTAGTGCAACGTAAAATAAATAAATAAAACTAAACATAGAAAATTATATTAAATTGTGTTTAAGCATAATTTCAATAAAAATGTTATAAAATCTTGAATCCATAAGTAATTAATTTAACTACTTTTCATGATATTTTGGGAACATTTCAGAATTAAATCTATTACAAATTTTCAATGTTGACAATTAGTGGCAACATGGTCAAATAGCGAGCTGCGACGTCATAGAAATAAATTCTGGGTTTTTATTTGGAGGTATTTCTTTTTTTTCTGTTTTCTCAAGAAGGACTATGAATTTTTCAAAAGTAAAAATACAGAAAATTCTGTTTTTAGTTGCTTTATCCAAATATGCCAATTTCAAAAATTAGTGAAAGAGCCCATTATAAAATTAGAAAAAAAATCGAGTATTACGGAAAACAATGAAAATTATTGAAAAAATTACGCGAATTTCAAATATTACGTAGAATTGCAAAAAATTATTGGAAATTACGTTTTACGAAAAAATAATAAAAATCACGACAATTTCAAAAATAACGGAAATTTCAAAAACTTACCGGAATTATCATTATTGAAAAATAAAATAAAAAAATTACGGGAATTAAAAAAATAACAGAAATCACGAAAATCATAAAAAATTACGGAAACTAGGAAAATCATAAAAAAAATCAGGACAATTAGAATAATTATAGGAATTGCAAAAATTACGGAAATTACGAAAAATTGAAAAAAAAAAAATTATCGGAAATAACACAAAAATTAAGGAATTTGTTAATTAACGAAAATTAAGGGAATTGCAAAAATTGCAAAAATTACGAAAAATTTCGGGATTACCGAAAATAATTAAATTTTTAAAAAATTATGGAAATTAGAAAAGTTACAAAAATTACGAAAATTCTGGAAATAAATCACGGAATTAACGAATTGCAAAAATCGAAAAAACCTATGATGATTTTCGAAAAGTTAGAAAATAACAAGAATTACAAGAATCAGGAATTACAATTACCAAAATTATAAAGACCTTCGGGAAATTATAAAATTTCCAAAAACGTCCATGAAATTTAAAAAATTACAATTGAAAATTGAATTGAAAATTACGAAAACTATCAAAGTTACGAGAATTATAAAAAGTTACGGGGATTACGAAAAAGTTACGGGAATTACGAGAATTAGAAATTACAAAGGCTTTCGGGAAATGATTTTGAAAAATGCCCAGAAAAAATACGGAAATTACGGGAATTACCTACTAATTTTTCAAATATACAAAAACGTGGAATTATAAAAATAACGGAATTTTCTGAGAAACTACGGGAATTAAAAAATTACGAAAATTTGAAGAACAAAAAAATTATAAAAATTATTTGAGAAATGACAGGAATTAAAAACTTTCTAAAGAAAAATTACGGAAATTACGAGTCACAATTTTCTTGCCAGTTTCCCGGTTGTAAGAGGGTGAATTTTGCCCAAAAAAGTCAATTTCCCAGAATTTTTCCTGGAGTGATTTTTGACTAAAAAATTTTGAAATTTTTCTATAATGTGCTCTCTAGTTTTCTTTTACTTCTGGAAACATTTCATAATTTTCCCTTTGCCAGATTTCTAGAAAAAAATTAAAATGTAAGAGGATGAATTCTCCTTAATTTTGCTGAAAAGTAAGTTTTTCAAAATTTTTCCTGGATTAATTTTTTACTGAAAAATTTTGAAATTTTCATAAAATGAGCTTCTCATTTTCCTCTTATTCCTGGAAAATTTTTAAAATTTTCCCTTTGCAAGTTTTGCAGAAAAAAATTAAAATATAAGAGGTGAATTTTCCCTAATTTTACTGTGATTTTTTACTGGAAAATTTTGAAATTTTCGTAAAATGAGCTCCTCATTTTCTTCTTAATCCTGGAAAATTTTCAAAACTTTCTCTTTGCAAGTTTTCTAGAAAAAAATTAAAATGTAAGAGGTTGTAGCAAGCTTTAACACATTTTGCGCCTCAACTCATCGGAAAACCCCCCCTAAAAATATATGTATTTTGCTTAGAATTAGTAACCCTACAATTCTATCTATGTTTTCTGACTGGGAAAATAAGTACCGAAAATCGTCACTGCCTCCTAGACTAATATGTTTGTTTGAAATTTCAGACATAAAAAATAGTTATTTTTGTATCAAGGGCGCGAAATGCTACTTTGGTGATCGAGATCTGATTTTTTTAACGAGGCGCAGCCGAGTTAAAAAAATAGTCGAGATCACCAAAGTATTTCGCGCCCGAGTTGCAAACAATATTTTTTCTACAACTCCATTTAAATATCAATCATTCGAAGCCAAAATTGCATTTTCAATCAAAGTTAGGTGAATTTTAATTATTTTTGATTTCCTGACAGGTATGTGTCACCAAGACACCAGTGTGCGAACTAGCTATTTCGCGCACGTGTGCGCGAAATAGCTAGTTCGCGCACGGCGTCATGGGAACGTTAAAAAATCAATACCTGGGAGGAAAAAAAGTATCACTTCGCAAACTGTCATGAGTGTGCGAACATCATCATTTTTTGACAGTTGTAGAAAAACTTATTTTTTAGAACAAGGGCAAATGATGACGTAAGTACAAACCCTCGTGAAACTAACTTTTTTTTACGCGTCACATTTCCTTTCCATCAAACCCCATCAAAAAAAAAAAAAAAAAATGGTGCTGCGGCACCCCTCAAATTTGGAGCCTAGTTGCGCTTATGGGTATGGTACACTGATAAACTAAAAAAATTAAGTAACAATTATAAATATCATAAATAGACTCAAGAAAAACAAAAACAAAGTGGAAAAGGATGATAAAACTAGGGAGCTTCAAGCTAAAGTGAGGAAAGTTCAGGGGATACTTATCAAGTAAAACTTATTTTCCTAGATTTCATTTCAGCGAAAATAAAAATGGGTAGATAGGTACATACTTTTTGCAAATGTCTATTTTTTCACAAACATAGAATAGCATTATGTGAAATTTGTGTAGCGCGTTTTTATCCGTTAAATTGAATACCTGACAGTAAGTTTATCAGAAGGTGAATAAACCGGCCCTAAATAGGTTATTAATAAATCTAATTTGAATTCGCTCTTCCTCCAGGCGTACAGGCCTTAATAAACAGAACATCTTTAAATTAGATACTAGATAGGTATCACTATTCAGAACTTACACGAAAAAAAATCGAATTACAACTGCTTCCTACGCTCTATTTATACAGGGTGTTAATGAATAGTGCGATGGGATCAAACTTCTGAATAAATAGTACCTATATACTTACTCATTAAAATAGGAAAAATTTAATAGAAACAGGGGTCCCGTGTGTCATTTTTTTCTACTTTCACCAACGTAGTAGCCCTCTGGGGCGCCACTTGAATAATTACGGCAAATCTAAATAATAAAAAAGATACCCTTTTGTTATTACAAACAAATTTGCCAAGTTTATAGAAACTCGGAAAACGCATTTTGAACAATCGATATTTTCAAGCATTGATACCGTGACACCGTGTATCTAGAAAACTAAGCATTTGCGGACTTATGTTTCCATTAACTTTTTTCTTATTTTAATGGGTACTTACCTACTATTTATCCTAGAAGCTTAATTCCACTATTTATTGACATTAAAACACTCGTATAGTCGAAATTGCACTCAGGATTTAACTAGAGAAACATCGAATCGAATATATTAAAATTCCAGGAAAAGGCGCACTGCCCGACGTAAACAAGTGACTAATTTAATTTCTTGGATTCCCAGCACCGCGAAGTCAATGCATTTTTTCAACAATACCTCATATTTTAGTATTTTGATGAAAATGGAAGCGAAGAGAGCAGGGTTGCCGGTGCAATGTTGGCGATGTTGCTAATTAGATTATCGGGCTGGTAAATATTTATAAAATTGTTCATAAATATTATTCTGCATACCGTTCGATTTTTTTTAATTATTTCTATTTTGTTTAATTTTCTCAATTTACCGCCTCTTAAATTTTACCGCCGGGTGCAGTTAGCACCTCTGCACCCCCCTAAGGTCGGCGCTGTTCACATTTTAAAATGGTGCTGCAGCACCCCTCTAATTTGGAGCCTAGTTGCGCTTATGAGGTACCTTCTTACTAAAACGATGAAATTTCAAATTTTTTTTGTCGAGATTTTGTATCCTAATGGTCAATCAACATACCTCAAACTCCATACACTAAATTATTCCCAGATTTGAAGCCGAAATCTATGAAAAAAGGCACTCAGAAAAATGGAAAAATTGATAAATCACGCCAAATTGCTTAACACTAATTTATCTCAGGAACTATAAGTGCAAATGAGCTGAAATTTTCAGGGATTGTAGTCCTTTGAAAGAGTTAAAATTCAGTGAGAGTTTCAGGTTTCTATCTATAATAGAAAAAAAGTTATGACCTTTCAAAGTTTTCCAAAATCTACAAATTTCTTCAAAGAAACTATCAATTTTCTTCCTCATAATAATGTGAGTTACAATCTCATTGATCTGGATCCATAATAATACAAAATTAAATTTACAATTTGCAATTTTATCTTTTATGTAGTAAATTACCCTAATTAATTAGCGATATGCAAGAAAAATTTTGTTTAAATATTGGAAAATTGGTGGCTAATGAATATAGTTAAAAACAAAAATGATTTTACCAATAATATTGTTGTCCATAATATTGACTACCACATACGCCTTCAATTACGAAAAAAATGAGCTTGAATTTGATTTTGCTGATCCAAGATTGCCAAATTGGTCCTTCATTTATCCAGGTAAAATAATTCAAATTGGATTTATTTATGCAATTAGAACATCCACTATCAATAAATGCAAAAATCATGCTGATAACATTTTGATTTAAAAACAACAAGTTCGAGTTCAAGTAATTCTTTGTCCAAAAAAAATGACGCAAGCTTTACTATTATCACTACTACTAGTGAAATATGTTTTTGCTTATAAAATTATATGGGACAATGATGCCCAAGTAGATTTAAACGAAATTGATGAAGAGTTTTTGAATTTGGGTGATCCAAGAATGCCCAACTTGTTTATTTATCCTGGTAAAATAATACGTATGTATTACTTAAATAACTAAGAAATAATTTTTAGGTACAAAATGGTGTGGTACTGGAAATGTGGCAGACAATGATAATGATTTAGGCAGCGAAGCTGAAACTGATAAATGTTGCCGCACTCACGATAAATGCCCAGACATTATAGAAGCCCACCAGACAAAATACGGCTTAGAGAATCCTTCGTTTTATACCAGGTAACTTATAACAAAGAATATTATAGACTAACGTCTCTAGAAGTATCGTCCTTATTCTGATTTTTGATACCTCGATGGACGCCGGCTTTAGCCGGTATGGATGCATGCATAGGGAGACAAACGCGTACCAAAAGAAATTAGGAAGTTAAGCATATATTTTCTAACATATTCTATACCTAATTAACCAACGAATATCATAGATGGATGCTATTCTATCATTTTCTTTAGGTTTTTTTCAGTATATTTGGCGAATTCGCCACTTAGAAGTTTATGTTTAATTTCGAATTATGAATTATTTATTTATTTTCCAGTAGATCGGTTTATTTAGCAACAAGTAAATTTTGGGTTCGGTCAAGTTTCCGCCCGTATTAAACAAATTTCAAAAATAAATAAACCATAATAATTTTGCACACTATGACTAAAATATTACACACCCACACAACACAACGAAAACCAGAGCAGTTTTTTAAACTAGGGGCAAACTTGACCGTTCCCCCTTGTTTGGCTAAAACTTGAAAAATTCCTATGCTACTCGATTCACCTAAATTTGCACAATTTCGCATGCCTATTTTCAAATTTTGCACACTTTTCTGAGGAAAGTTAAAGTAAAGTGTGTTTTTTTTAAAGATAAAAGTCAAAATGACATTATGTTGGCAATGTAATGTAAAATTGTCAATGCTTCCAATTTTTTTATGTAGAAAAGGCTTGTGTTGCCAGCATAGTTACTAAATTTTTGACTTCCCCAAATCAAAAATTCAATAACTATGTTGGCAACACAAGCCTTTTCTACATAAAAAAATTGGAAGCATTGACAATTTTACATTACATTGCCAACATAATGTCATTTTGACTTTTATCTTTGAAAAAAAAAACTTTATGAGGTATTAAAAATTGGCGGGGATCCGCCGTTTGTCGAAAAATTGAAAAATTTTATGCAACTCGCCATAGGCGCAACTAAGGGGGTGCTTGGGGGTGCTAAGCACCTTTAAAGCAAAAATTAGCACTCCCATTCGGCATCCCACTATAGCACTACCTACAGTGGCACTACCTAAAACTAATATAAAAAATCAGTGCAACCAAATTATTTATTTTTTTGTACTTTTTGTACTTACTTACGTCATCCATGACGTCATAATTTAGAAATGTTAGATTTTACTATCACTTCTCCGCGATTCTAAATTCACTTTTCCGCGATTGTAAACCCACTTTTCCGCAAATATTAACTCATTTTTCCGCGAATTTTATCTCACTTTTTCACAAATTCACACTCACTTTTTTTGAAATTTTTGACTCATTTTTTTTGCGACTTTTGACCCACTTTTTTGCAATTTTGTTTTCACTTTTTTGCAATTTTTGGCTCTTTTTTTACGATTTTTGACTCTCTTTTTGGCGAATTTGTCCTTACTTTTTTTTTGATTTTTGCCTCACTTTTTTGCGATTTTACCCTCACTCCTCGGCGATTACAAACTTATTTTTCCGCTATTTCATCCTCATTTTCCCGCGATTGTTTCCCTACTTTCCGTGATTTTATCTCCACTTTTCCGCTAATTTGATCTCACTTTTTTTGTGATTTTTGATTTTTTTTATTTTACTTATTTTTTTGCAATTTTACCATCACTTATCGCAATTCTAAATCCACTTTTTCACGATTGTAAACCCACTTTTCTGTAAATATAATCTCATTTTTCCGCGATTCTCGTCTCACTTTTTTTTGCGATGTTATCCTCACTTTTCCGCGATTCCTATTTCATTCTCCGCGATTTTATCCTCACTTTTCGTAACTTTATCCTCATTTTTCCGTGAGTCTCATCTTACTTTTCCGCGAGTTTGAACTCACTCTTTTTGAAATTTTGGACTCATATTTTTTTTGCGATTTTATCATCACTTTCCGCGATTTTATCCTCATTTTTCCTCATTTCAAAATTACGAAAATAACGATAATTTTTGAAAAGTTACGAAAAATTACAGGAATTACGTTAAAGTACGTAAAATATGAAAAAATAAAGAGAGTTGCAAACATTTACGAAAATTACGGAACATTACGAGAATCACGGAATAACAAAAAATTGCGGAAATTACAAAAATTATGGGAATTGCCAAATATTACACAAAAGAATTATGAAGTTACTCCAAAATTACGTTAATTATTCAAATATTACTAATTTTTGAAAAGTAACGAAAACTAACAAGACAAATTACGGGAATTACGAAAAATAATGGGAATTATAAAAATTTACGGAACCTAGTAAAATGACGGAAATGACAAAAATTTGCGGGAATTATGAGAAATTATGTAAATTACGGAAATTGAAAAAAATACAAAAAACTACCAAAATTACAAAAATTACGGGTATTACGAAATATTACGGAAAAGAATTACAAAGTCATTTCTAAATTACGTGAATTACGGTAATTCCCTAAGTTTTTGAAATTACGAAAATTACAATTACTTAGGGAGAATTAGGAAATTCCGAATTTTTTTGGAAATTAGGAAAATTGAAAATTAAAAAATTGAAAATATAAATAATTACTGGAAAAAGCGCGAAAAATTGAGGGAATAACAAAAATTACCAAGTTTTCCAAAAATTGAAAAAAATAAGGGGGAATTAGAAAATAACAAGAATTATCTGAGAAATGACAGGAATTAAAAAATTTCGAAAACAAACTTTTTTTTTTTTTTTTTTAAGTGTGTCATTTTTTTTTGACAGGTCCAATAATATGATTTTTTTTTTCAAATGTCATTTTTTGACAGGTCCAAAGTTATATATATATTTTTTTTTTTTCAACGTCATTTTTTGGCAGGTCCAATAATATGAATTTTTTTTTTTTTTTCAAATGTTATTTTTTGACAGGTCCAAACTTATAAAAAAAAAAGTTTTTTTTCAAACGTAATTTTTTGACAGGTCCAAACCTATTAAAAAAAAAATGTTTTTTTTTTCAAACATCATTTTTTGACAGGTCCAATCCTATATATTTTTTTTTTTGATAAGTCCAATGACACCTATAAATTTTTTTTTTTTTTTTTTTCAAGTGTAATTTTTTTTTGACAGGTACCATAATATGATTTTTTTTTTTTTTTTCAATGTCATTTTTTGACAGGTCCAAACTTATAAAAAAAATTTTTTTTTTTTCAAACGTCATTTTTTGTCAGGTCCAATCCTATAAAAAAATATTTTTTTTTCAAATGAAATTTTTTTTTCAAATGTCATTTCTTGACAGATCTAAACTTATTAAAAAAAAAATTTTTTTTTAAACGTCATTTTTTGACAGATCCAATCCTATGAATTTTTTATTTTTTTTTCAAATGGATTTTTTTTTTTTTGACAGGTCCAATAATATGAACAAAATTTTTTTTTTTTTTTAAATGTCATTTTTTGACAGGTCCAAATTTATAGATTTTTTTTTTTTTCAAACGTCATTTTTTTGTCAGGTCCAATCCTATTAAAAAAAAAATTTTAAATGAAATTTTTTTTTTGACAGGTCCAATGACACCTATGAATTTTTTTTTTTTTTTGCAAGTGTCATTTTTTTTTGACAGGTCCAATGATATGATTTTTTTTTTAAATGTCATTTTTTGACAGGTCCAAACTTATAAAAAAAAATAAAATTTGAAACGTCATTTTTTGACAGGTCCAATCCTATAAAAAAAAAAAATTCAAATGAATTTTTTTTTTTGACAGGTCCAATGACAACTATAATTTTTTTTTTTTTTTTTTTCAAGTGTCATTTTTTTTTGACAGGTCCAATATGATTTTTTTTTTCCAAATGTCATTTTTTGACAGGTCCAAAGTTATAAAAAAAATTATTTTTTTTCTTCAAACGTCATTTTTTGGCAGGTCCAATCCTATAAAAAAAAAAAATATTTTTCAAATTACAGGTCCGATGACACCTATAAATTATTATTTTTTTTTTTCAAGTGTCATTTTTTTTTGACAGGTCCAATAATATGAAATTCTTTTTTTTTTTTTTTCAAACGTCATTTTTTGACAGGTCCAATCCTATTAAAAAATTTTTTTTTTCCAAATGAATTTTTTTTTTTGACAGGTCCAATGACACCTACAATTTTTTTTTTTTTTTTTTAAGTGTCATTTTTTTTTACAGGTCCGGTCCAATGATATGAAAAAAAATTTTTTTTTTTTTTCAAATGTCATTTTTTTTTGACAGGTCCAATAATGATTTTTTTTTTCTTTTCCAAATGTCTTTTTTTTTTGACAGGTCTAATGATATGAAAAAAATTATTTTTTTTCAAATGTCATTTTTTGACAGGTCCAAAGTTATATCTTCAAACGTCATTTTTTGACAGGTCCAATCCTATAAAAAAAAAAATATTTTTCAAATTACAGGTCCGATGACACCTATAAATTATTATTTTTTTTTTTCAAGTGTCATTTTTTTTTGACAGGTCCAATAATATGAAATTCTTTTTTTTTTTTTTTTCAAACGTCATTTTTTGACAGGTCCAATCCTATTAAAAAATTTTTTTTTCCAAATGAATTTTTTTTTTTGACAGGTCCAATGACACCTACTTACAATTTTTTTTTTTTTTTTCAAGTGTCATTTTTTTTTACAGGTCCGGTCCAATGATATGAAAAAATTTTTTATTTTTTTTTCAAATGTCATTTTTTTTTGACAGGTCCAATAATGATTTTTTTTTTCTTTTCCAAATGTCTTTTTTTTTTGACAGGTCTAATGATATAAAAAAAATATTTTTTTTTTCAAATGTCATTTTTTGACAGGTCCAAACTTTAAAACAAAATTTTTTTTTTCAAACGTCATTTTTTGACAGGTCCA